TCTTCTGATGTGGAATCTATTCCAGTGCTACTATTATATTCACTATAATCACAAACCTCTCTAATATCATCATCATTGGATTCATAGGTTTCACAATTATTAACTATTGGTGCTGATAAATGAAGTCTATAAGTTTCTTTTTGGTTTTTGTTGATTAAAGATTTTTTCATTTGGATATCACTTCGTACTCTTGCCATTGATAGGACCTTTTTGGACTGATTAAAAAAAATTATTATTGTAAAATGTTTAAATTTTAAAGTGAGACTCAAGATAAAATAAATAAGTACATACATTGAGCCTGTTTCTTTTTATAGTGTGAATGTGGCCCATACTGGACCACATCCTCTCCACCGAAGCAGAGTTAATAGAGATCCCATGTATTCTAATGGCAATTTGTGCCAACTCAGGACCAATTCCACTTGTAAACTCCCAGAAGCTAATCAAGTTATTTTTAAATTGAGAAAATGAATTGTAATCATATGGATCCTCGCCTTTAATATATACCATAAATTCTGATAAAATTGAAATAGGTTTTTTATTGAACCATGCTTCATAATAATATTTAAGCATTTGACCAAGGTGTACAAAAGACAAATTTGGTATTGATGGTTTAAATTTAAAATGTTTATATAAAGGATGAAGTACCATTGAAAGAATTAAGAGTGGTTGTTCCCAGTCCTTCCAACGTTTCTCTAATCTATTAATTATTCTTCTTGAAAAAGAAATATCACTATTTGATTTAAATATCTTTAATACATATCCAAAACAATGAAGCACTTCATATAATTTTGCAGAATCTTTTTGTATCTTATTCAAAAAACCACATAAAGGATATAACAAATCTTGAAGCTGGAAAAGAACTGACCAAAATTCATTATCATTAATGATATCAGCAATATTATCAGGTAACTTTCTTCCACTATGTGTATAAGAAGTGTTGTTTGGAGGAACATTTGAAACACCATTAATCCGAATCACATTTGAATGATGTTGGTTATATTTGGCTGAAAGAAACTAGGAAACAATAAAAATGTTAGAATTATAATAACCTTCCTTACAATAAAATAAATAAATTTTTATATACACTAACCTTAAGTGCAGCTTGGGTTCTAAGTAAAGAATGGAAACAAAAATAGTAACTATTCCACCTAGTATCTCCAGGTGTCAACAAAGAAATAGTTTTATTGTATATACAAACTTGTTCATCTCTTAAATTACCAGTAAAGTACATAGATTTGTGGAAATAGCTAACAATATGAACAGCTTCATCAGAAACACTTTTAAATGTTTCATTTTCTTTAAATATATCTCCAAACACAAGGTTCATCTGGTGAGCCATACATGGAATAAACACCTTGTCTGGATATTTCTTTCTTAATTGACGCCTAAAATCAATGATTTAAATGAAGACAAAGAATTGAATTAAGTAAATTGATAGAAAAAAAAAGATAAAAAAAATACCGTGCAGCAACATATTCTCCTGCTGAATCACTAACAAAGGCATTTATATTTATCCCTGCATTTCTTGTTTCAACCATCAATAATTCAATATGTCTAATAACATCTTCGGTTTTTGAAGTTTCTGAACTCACATCATAGGCTCCCCAAATAAGAGGCTGACCTTGAGATGTCAACAACACAACTCCCCATATTTTTTCAGACTTGACATTTGACCACCCGTCACAAGCAACTGTAACACCATAGCTATCTTTTTTAGCAATATTTATCATGTTATCATATGAATTTTTTGCTGCATCAATTAATACTCTTTCACTTATAATTCTTCGAGTTGGAAGAGTCAGCCCAGGAGAAAGAAATTCAAACAATGATTTGGTTTCTTGATTTTCTAAGAAAGTAAAGGATAAGTTATTCGAAATTATCATATGAAGTAATAATTGTTCGAACTTTGCTTTGTCATTTGTTGAAAATGGTCGAGCAAAATAATTAGTAATGGATTGTTGTTGTTTCATAGAATCAGTAGTGGTAAAAGAAGAAGATGATGATGAATTGGAATTTTTTTGGTCATTGTCTTCACTAAAATCATCTAAAAAATGGATTAAATTATATAATCAAAATCAAAAAATTTAATATTTACTTGAAAGAAAAATCTTTACCATTATTTTTTAAATCTCCAGGTACAGAACGTGATAAGATTCTTTCTACTTCTTCTTTGGTATAAGTTAACTTAAAATTTTCACAATTAGCAAGGTGATTGCGACAAAGTCTTGCTTTATTTGAAGTAAAACATCCTGATGTTACTTGTGCAATAGCTAAACCTC